CCTCTCTTTTTTGCTTAAATTTGCATTTCTAGATTACCAAAGAGGTTGGATTTTTTTTTTTTCATTACTTCCAAGTCAACAGTAACTTAAGTCTTGTCTGTTAGTATCTAACATATTGTTTGTTAGTATCTGCATATATTTTAAAGCAAAAGATTTGGAGTTGTTTAAGAAAAACATCTTGGGAAGAGTGTGCAAGATTGATTAGAGAAGGAAGATTGGAGATACAGGGGAAAAGATAGGTGCTGTTAAAACATTCCAAGAAGGGGAAAATAAGGTTTGTTCTAGAACCCTGTAAACTGAAATGGAAAATTAGATTTATTTAAAAGACACTAGTATACATAAATTATATAAAGGAGAGAAAATCTAGAATACTTGAGGATATCCATGTAACTTAAAAAAAGTCATTCTATTTTTATTGCAAGATAACTAGCCTATTAGATATCTGTATCTAATTCGAGCCTAAGTTTTGAAAGAATGAAATAATTTCCTGGATGACGTGACTGAGGGAAAAGGAACATTTTAGTCACATAACTTCAGAGGAAATGAAGTAACGCAGCCACCACGTGCTGTGACCCCTACCTCCTGTGAAAGGCCAGATGACGGGGGCCTGGCAGGAGGCTGAGAGGAGGAGGCGTGAGAACTCCCACTGAGCACCTGCGTGTGTCAGGTAGTGTGCAAGATGTTCACATATACCCTAAACTATTTGATCCTCGTGATAAGTCTGAAATATTAATATTATTTACATCCCCATTTTGTCGATGAGAAGACAGAATTCATGGAGACGATGTATTTTGCTCCAAATCACACAGCCCTAAATGACAGACTTGGTCTTCCCATCAGTTGGAGTGTGCACGCTGTAATTTTTCCACACTTGACTACATCTCTTCATGGGGAAGAATTTCCCACTGCATGTAATTGTTTCAGAGAAGCTGCAGAAAAAGAGTCCTGTAGGGCTAATTGTTTTGGTCTCAGGGAAAGGGAGGTCTGGGGAAGGTAGAGGATATTTATTTTTTACAATCTCATGAAATCTCGTAGGTAGCTATTTTTGTCAAACCACTGGACAACTCATTAGGGCTACCTTAGCATTCTTTTTATCTGGTATCTACAATAATTTTACATCATGGCCCTTTGCATTTTGTGCCAGTCTAGTTAGTTAAATCAAATTGCTCTTTTTTACTCTTTGGAAACTATTTTCCTAGTTACCTGATGTGAAATGTATTGCTCCCGAAGTTGGCTTGCAGAATTCCACGCAATATTTGCATGCACCAAGATTTTAGCTTTCTCAGTCCACTTCAGAATTAATTCAAGCATTTCATTGTATTCTTCTAAATGTGATGCTGCCTGAAAAATCATTAACATTCAGATAACAAATGTAAATTCTGCTTCTTCAGCTAGAAATCAGTCTTCAGTCTCTTTGAATACAACAATCCTAGGAGTTGATCGTTCTAATATCTGTGATATTTAAATGTATCATGAAACATCATTTTCCTGTTGAAGATCTGTCAAAGGTTCTCAGTGACTTTAGGATAAAGTCCAAGTTTGTTAATACGCTTAGAGAATCCCTCTTTTTCTGATTCTCAGTTCTCATCTCTTATGTTCTATCTAGTTCACCTTTATCCCTTCTTCCACATTCCACTGGGTACAGAGATAGCAGGTAGGGATTACAGCATGCCAGGTTTCAATACAACAATTCATTGGTTACCAACTCTGGTTCTAACTTGTCTCTGATTGTAGAAACAATATGTAATCTCTTTGCATAAGTCCAGTCTATACTTAAAAATTATAATAGACGGGCAACCTGAACCTATTAAGTAAATGCAAGCTAATATATATATATATATATATATAATTTGAAGTACATATATATATATATACTGGAATTCTCCCCAAACCAATGTTATAAAACATGTTAATGAATGAGTATTCATTTTACAAAATACTTCTCCAGTTTACAAAATATTCTCCCCGAAGTCCATTTATATGACCATCTTTGTCAGTGAATTTATAATATGGTTTGATATAAAATAAATGCAGGTTTACATATAAATCTTAGGAGCACAGCTGGGTATGAAATAAGCTACATCTAAACTGCTTGCATCATTTTCAATATTATCTTTTTATTTATTTTCAAAAGAAAAGCAGAACATTGAAGTTTCTGCCTTAGAGAATTTCGATTACTGGCCTTGAAAACATACCTGACTGAGCTTGGAGAGGCGATTCTCAGCCTGTCTAATAGTCTGCTGGTGAAGTTCAGTCAGTTTTCCTATCTTCTTGGCCAGTGGCTTACCCAGTTGGCCATTCTGTTCCGAGAACTTCTGTACTGCTGCATCTAATTCCATTAACTTTGAATTACAACCATCCAGTTCCTCTCCCAGCACCTAGATGGTCATCACAATGAAAGAACATTAGACTGTAGATAATAAATTTCTCCAGCTTTTCCAAAATCAGAAGGATTCTATTTTAAATGACTTTTGTAAAAGCCAAATATTATAAAAATCAATCCTACGACAATCAGGTCATCTCTATTTCTTCAGTTAGAAAAGCAGAGCAGGATGTGTTGTAATCCTGGTGTTTATTTCCTATGAGGCTAAGTGAGAGGACTAACAATTTCCTTCTGCCCCACCCGAAAAGGATTAGAGTCACTTTACTCATCAACAAAGTGAGAACACAGATTTAACTACCAAGAACATAACTCACTTTGGAATTTATACACTTGTGTTTCTACATCATCATTTAGTCCTTTGACACTCTTCTCCCTTACACACATGTATATGTATATTTATCAATACAGTTCAATTATAATGGTAAATTACATAAGTGGATCTGTACTATTACATTGATAAAATTTCCATACTGCCTGCTTTTACTATGTGGTTTTAATGAAGATTGCTAATAAAGAAAGTTTTGTTTTTCTATATTCCCAAATAAAACTGACTCCAAAAAAATATTTAATTCACTCAGTAGCACCTCTTATGTTTCTACTTCATTACCTTTTGGTCAGTTTTGGCTTGAACTAAATCATCTGTTTTTGCTTTCAGCTTTGTTAAAATAGTTGTGAGATCTTTGGCTATCTTCTGGATTTGCTGGCTGAATTCCTGGCTCATGGCCTTGTTCTGTTCAACTTCTTTTACTTTGTCTTGGATCTAAATAATCGATGAGAACAGAAAAACCCACAATGGTTGAAACTGGATAATAGATCCAAAACATCTCAAATGATGTTGATGAGAGACATTGA